CTTTAAATAACTAGCTTTGTCTAATATCACAGTTTGTACAAATAATGTAAGTAAACTACAGAAAAATAATAATATAGCAGGGTGGAGTGGCTCAGGCCTGTAATCCCAGCACTTTAAGAGGCTGAAGCGGGCGGATCATTTGACGTCTGGAGTTCAAGACCAGCCTGACCAACACAGTGAAACCCTGTCTTTACTAAAAATACAAAAAAAAAATTAGCTGGGTATGGTGGCACATGCCTGTAGTCCCAGATACTTGGGGGGCTGAGGCGGGAGATTGCTTGAACCCAGGAGGCAAAGGTTGCAGTGAGCCGAGATCATGCCACTGCACTGCACTCCAGCTTGGATGACAGAGCAAGGCTGTCTCAAAAAAAAAAAAAGAAAGAAAAATAATACATTAGGTAAACATAATGGAATACATGCTTATAAAAAAAGAAATGGTATGATGATTACCAAAAAAATTAAACATAAATTTACCATATGATCCATCAATTCCACTTCTGGGCATATACTCAAAAGAAGTGAAAGGAAGGGCTCAAAAAGTTATTTCTACACTCATGTTCAACAGAGTTGCAGTTGGCATAGATGAATACGTTCTGGAGATAAATGGTAGTGATGGCTACACAATGTGAACATATTTAACTGTACAGATCTGTGGTATTAAAAATAATTAAAATGGTAAATTTTATGTTATTTATAGCTTACCACAATCTTTTTAAAGCAAGTACAGAAAAAGAAGGAACTGTTCTGTGAAATCTGTGCAGCAATCACTTAGAAAATATGGAAATTGGCTGGGCGCAGTGACTCACACATGTAATCCTAGCACTTCGGGGAGGCTGAGGCAGGTGGATCACAAGGTCAGGAGTTCAAGACCAGCCTGGCCAAGATGGTGAAACTGCATCTCTACTAAAAACTACAAAAATTAGCTGACTGTGGTAGCAGATGCCTATAATCCCAGCTACTCAGGAGGCTGAGCCAGGAGAATCGCTTGACTCTAGGCAACAGAGATTACAGTGAGCCGAGATAGTGCCACTGCACTCCAGCCTGGGTGACAGAGTGAGACTCTGTCTCAAAAAATAAAAATAAGGCTGGGTGTAGGGGCTCACACCTGCAATCCCAGTACTTTGGGAGGCTGAGGAGGATAGATCACTTGAGCCCAGGAGTTCAAGACCAGCCTAGGCAATATGGTGAAACCCCATCTCTGCCAAAAATATAAAAAAAATCAGCCAGGTATGGTGGCATGTGTCTATAGTCCCAGCTACTCAGGAGGCTGAGATGGGAGAATTGCTTGAGCCTGGGAGGCAGAAGCTGCAGTGATCTGAGATCACACCACCGCATGCCAGCCTGCGCTACAGAGAGACCCTATCTCAAAAAAATAAACAAATAAGGAGGTGGCTCACGCCTGTAACTCCAGCACTTTGGGAGGCCAAGGCAGGTGGATCACCTGAGGTCAGGAGCTCGAGACCAGCCTGGCCAACATAGTAAAACCCCATCTCTACTAAAAATACAAAAAATTAACCGAGCCTGGTTGCAGGCACTTGTAATCCCAGCTACAAAAGACTGAGGCAGGAGAATCACTTGAAGCCAGGAGGTGGAGGTTGCAGTGAGCCAAGGTCTCACCATTGCACTCCAGCCTGGGCAATGAGTGAAACTCCATCTCTAAATAAATAAATAATGGTTGCTCAGGGTGTACAGAAAGTAGGCCAGGCACAGCGGCTCCCATCTGTAATCCCAGGACATGGGGAGGCCGAGGCAGGTGGATAAGTTGAGGTAAGGAGTTCAAGACCAGCCTGACCAACATGGTGAAACCCTATCTCTACTTAAGATACAAAAAATTAGGCTGGGTGCAGTGGCTCACGCCTATAATCCCAGCACTTTGGGAGGCTGAGGCAGGCAGATCACAAGGTCAGGAGATTGAGGCCACCCTGGCTAACACAATGAAACCCCATGGCTACTAAAAATATAAAAAATTAGCCAGGTATAGTGACATGAATCTGTAATCTCGGCTACTTGGGAGGCTGAGGCAGGAGAATCACTTGAACCAGGGGGTTGAAGGTTGCAGCGAGCCAACATTGTGCTACTGCACTCCAGCCTGGCTATAGAGTGAGACTCCATCCCCCAAAACAATATATATACATGTATAAAAAAATTAGCCAGGCCCCCAGGCACAGTAGCTCACACCTATAATCCCAAGCACTTTGGGAGGCCAAGGAAGGCAGATCACCTGAGGTCAGGAGTTCAAGACCAGCAGGACCAACATGAAGAAACCCCATCTCTACTAAAAATACAAAATTAGCCAGGCACGTATGTGTAATTAATTCCTGCTACTTGAGAGGCTGAAGCAGGAGAATTGCTTGAACTTGGGAGGTAGTTTGTGGTGATCCTCTCGGCTCTTGCCTTGCGCCACTGCACTCCAACTTGAGCAACAAGAGTAAAACTCCATCTTAAAAAAAAAAAAAAAGGAAGAAACCCATCTCTACCAAAAATACAAAAATTAACCTGTCGTGGTGGCATGCATCTGTAGTCCCAGCTACTGGGGAGGCTGAGGAAGGGGAATGGCTTAAACCTGGGAGGAGGAGGCTGCAATTAGCTGAGATCAAGCCACCGCACTCCAGCCTGGGCTACAGAATGAAACTCTCAGAAAAATAAAAATAAAAAGATGAAATTAGAACCCTCTACACTGCTGGTGGGAGTGTAATATGGTACAGCCAGGGTTGAAAACAATTTGGCAGTTCCTTCAAAAATAAAAGGTAAAAGAATTACCATATGATCCAGGTATATACCCAAAAAAATTAAAAAATGGTATTCAAACAAAAAAACTTGTACATCAGTGTTCATAACAGCACTAATCACAACGCCAAAAGGTAAAAAAAACAAAATGTCCAATAATAAACAAATATAGCATAAAATGAAATATTATTCAGCCATTAAAAATTGAAGTACTGGCTGGGCTCAGTGTTATGCCTGTAACCCCAGCACTGTGAGAGGCCAAGGAGGGCAGATCACAAGGTTAGGAGCCTGGCCAACAGAGTGAAATACTGCATTAAAATTACAAAAAATCCAGGCCACAGTGTGAGACTCTGTCTCAAAAAAAAAAAAAAAAAAAAAAAAAAAAGTACTTTTGGGATTACTTGCCCCAGAGGAAATTGTTAAAAAATGAAGTACTTATACGGGCTACAACATAGATGAACACAGAAAACTTAGGCTAAGTTAAAGAAATGGACATAAAAAGTCAAATATTATATGACTCCACTTCTATGAAATACAAAGATTCATAGATTAGTGTTTTGCACGAGTTCCAGGAAGGGAGGAATAGAGAGTTTAATAGGTATAAAATTTGCGCCAAGCGCAGTGGTTCACACCTGTAATCCCAATACTCTGAGAGGCCAAGATGGGCAGATTACCTTAGGTCAGGAGTTCGAGATCAGCCTGGCCAACAAGGTGAAACCCCATCTCTACTAAAAATACAAAACTTAGCCAGGTTAGGTGGCAGACACCTGTAATCCCAGCAACTTGGGAGGCTGAGGCATGAGAATTGCTTGAACCTGTGAGGCAGAGGTTGCAGTGAGCCCAGATTGTGCCACTGCACTCCAGCCTGGATGACAGAGAGAGACTCCATCTAATTAAAAAAAAAAAAAAAAAAAAAAGATAAGAAGTTTCCTTTTGTGTGAAAATATTTTGGAACTAGAGAGGTTAAAGTTGTACATCACTGTAAATGTACCAAATGCCACTGAATCAAGCACTTTAAAATAGTTAATTTTGTTATATAAATTTTACCTCAATAAATAAGAGGATGCTCTGATAGCATCGTATGAAAACAATGACCCAAACATGAAGTATTTTACTACTTATTACCTCCCAATTAAAACAAAATAACCCTGAAATCTTTCTTAAAATGTCTTTTATTTATTTTGTTGGTTGGTTGGTTTTAGAGACAGGGTCTTGCTCTGTCACCCAGGCTGGAGTGCAGTGGTGTGATCGGATCTCACTACACCCTCAAACTCCTAGGCTCAAGCAATCCTCTTGCCTCAGCCTCTTGAGTAGCTAAGACTACCAGCTCGTGCCATGACACACAGCTAATTTTTTAATTTTTTTTTATAGAGACAGAGTCTTGCTATGTTGCCCAAGCTGGTCTTGAACTCCTGGCTTCAAGTCATCCTCCAGAGCCACAACCAGCTTAAACTGTCTTAAGACTAAGACTAAGATGTTTAGAGAGGCAAAAGTGGTATTACAGTAAGCTTCTTGGGCATGATTTACTCACAGACTATCTAAAATCTAAAAGACACTTTTTAAAAGCGGGATGAGGTGACTCTTCTAATTTAGTCAGCATAAGCAAGAACACACAAAACCTATAAGCTCAACCATTCAAAGTTACTTGGAACTTTATACTTAAAAAGCACTATATAAAAATTTCCATCAGTGATTCCTGATGGACACTTTTACAAGACGGTTTGTTCCCAATTGGCTAAATGACTTGCCTTGTTATCCACTGCATGCACTATTTTACCTCTGACAGTGACATCCCCTTGCTTTCTGTCAACTAGGATTAAAACTTTTCAGACTGAAGTCTTTTCCTTTTTCTCATGGCTCTGCAGGTATTATTAGCTGCTTCTTCAAGAGGCTTTAGGGGCAGAGATTCTTGAGCCTGACATCTTGGCTCCACCACATAACAGTGGTGTGAACTTCAGAAGTAACCATCCTTTCTCTGCCTCATTTGCTGATCTATAAAACTGGAAGAGCCCCACCTCAGGGACTTGCTGTGAGAATAAAATGCTTTTAGCATACCACTTGTTATGTAAACTCTCAATAAATTGCCATCACTATTATTAGTATTACGTTTCCTAATACTTCTCTAGAACAGGCCTTTACTATTACTAGATTAGATCCACTAGATTATGTCTGCATTTCCTCAACCAGCCTACTTCATTCCTATATTTTAGTAATCCAAAGTATTGTGCAGATCACCATCGGATTTACCTTGAATACATGCAAATACCTCCTGTTACTCTCTAGCTTAAAAAACCTTTAATGTGGTGATGTCCATCTCATGTCAGCCAGGGATAAAGCCAACCCTTGTTTATCCCAGCTTGGCTCTTGATCTGTGCCCATGGCTGGTTTGTGCCTTGGATACATGGAAAATAACTAAATGATTAAAAAATAAAAATAAAAAATTTTCTATGGATCCTCACTCATACCACATCAAATCTAATTTCCTCTGCTAACTTTACCCTCTCTTAATAGCAGTTACCAAACTTTTAGTGTCCATCAGAATCATCTGGCATACTTGTTAAACACTAATTGCTGGACTCCAGAGTTTCCAATTCAGTAGGTATGGGAACGGGGCCTTAAAATCTGCATTTATAATAAATTTCCAGGTGCTGCTGCTGCTGCTGGTCAACAAACCACATTTTGAAAACTACTCTTCTAAAATAAACCCCATTCTGCCTCCAAGACTTATTTCTCCTTCCTCCCCACCTAGCACACACTGCCTTGACTGCACTGATCTTTTCGTAGGCTGTGGCCAATTCTCCCCTGTCCTACTTCCCTGTGCTGGCCACTTTCTTGCTTTTCCAAATCAAACCCAGCCTTTAAGTCTGTGATTCTTAACACTGCCTGCACATTACAAACATCTGGGAAAGCTTTTAAAAACTGCAGATGCGCCTAGCCTGAGAGTCCGATTCATTTGATTTTGGGTTAAGTTTTCCGAAGTGATTCTAATGAGCAGTCAGAGTTGCCATCCTCTACTTTAACTTTAATCAATCTGGGAGGGGGAGGTGGGGAGGGATTGCCAGGGGAGAAATACCAAATGTGGGTGAAGGGGAGAAAGCAAACAAAACACACTGCCCTGTGTGTACCTATGCAACTGTATTGCATGCTCTGCACATGTACCCCAAAACCTAAAATGCAATAAAAAAAAAAACTTTAATCAATCACCTTCCTGTCAGAATTACGAATACTCACTGGATTTTCTCCCCTCTGAACTACTGTAATGTTGACGGATTATATCAAGTTTTCCGTTCATTCATGACTGTGTGATTTTAAGTCTTTCATTTTAAGTCTTGTTTCTTTCAACTTGAAATTGAACATACAGATTTCTATATTACAACAGCTCTAGTATGGCGATGAATACACAGTAGAAATTGATCATTTCTCCACTAATTGTGAGTTCAAATTAGAATTCAGAGCCTTAAAATATTTTTGGCATTTTGACAAAGGCTTAAAATATTTCTAATCTATCAAATTCAGCAAATTATATTCCTTTCTTTTTAAATATGGTTCTGCCACATTCATCTTATTATGGTGAGTAATTTAGCCCCTTCATTTCCTAATAAATAAATTGGAAAGAGAAAACAGTAATGTATAAAAATACTTTAAAAATAATAAAACGAATAATAGCTCTGTACGTGGTTTCACAGTTGCTTCCTTAGAGCAAATGGCCTTTTCTAAATCCATTAATGACTGTTTCAAAACAGTTAAAACAGAATCAAAGCACACATATTTAAAGATTCTGAAGCTCTGAATAGTTCTATGATTTGTTTTCTCAACAGATGTGCATCCTTCAAGCCCTGAATTCGCCAGATGCATATTAAATTAATCTGTACTTTTAGTTTTTACATAACACTCTAGTTTCATAAATACACCACTGCCACATGAAAACAGAATTCCACTGTTGCTTTATGTCATTAAATATTAACAGATTATCTTCACTGTGCAAAAAATACATTAAGATTCATTTCAATGCAGCCAAATGTGTGCTCACTAAATACAGGCTATAATAACTTCACCATTATTTTTTAATTGGCTGATTTCCATCTAGAATGTGAAACATATCAAATTTGCTCACAAAAATCCAGTGACACCTGGTACCTGGAAGAAACACACCTACTTAAGTTACAAGAAATACTTAAGTCCACTTAAATCTACTGGAGAATTTACTTCTTATAAATCCATAATTTCTTCACTAACTACAATGAAAAAATTAGCACAGTTATATCAGAAATAAGACTGCACTGGGAGTCAGGAGGCCTGAACTCCAGAGTGACTCATTAATAAGCTGTACAATCTTGAGCAAGTCACTTAGCCTCTGCACTTAAGTAGTCTCAGCTGTAAAATGAAAGGGGTCTAACCAGACCATCTCCACGTTTTATTTTAGCTTTATGATTTCATAATCTACGAAACTCAAGAAACACAAGCATTAACCAGATGGATCCCATTAAACACCAAGTGAGCTTTCATATTGATTGACTTGGAGATAATGTATCTCTGGAGAATCTAAGTACTTTCACACAGATAGTTCCTTGAGTTGACTTATTTAACTAAAAAAGCAAACAAAACTCACCAAACATCTTGCATCATATCCTAGATGACCAGAATATTTAGATGTCATGATACCAATTAAGGTTAAAATGTTTTAGGAAATAGAAGCTGTTCTAGAAGTATAGGACAGGACAGTTATAAAGCCAAATGAAAGAGGATTCTAGCTAACAATTAGGACTTAAGCTACATGAGAATAAAATGTCTCAGAACAGCATTCTATTACTTTTAGAAGCAAGATTCTCAGCCTGAGTCAGAATTGAAAATAATCAGGAAACTATAGCAGTACCCATGGAAGCGCTTCCTACTCAGTTTTTGCCAGCTCAAGCTTCTGGATAGTCTTCAACAAGTGTAACAGGCAGCAGCAAACACTGGAGAGGGTGCTCAAAAATCTGTATAGCTGAAACCCTACGCAACAATAAAAACCAAGTGGCAAAGGCTCTTATCCTTAATGACAGTTGAAAACTGCATTTAAATCTCCCATCAAGCCCCTTTACAACCTGAAACTGCCACATGACTGTACCATATTTAGCTCATATTTCATAATACTCTAATACATGTTATAAAATAATTAAGCACTTGTCAATTAAGGCCTAATGACCTAAAATCAATCTTTTTGAAAGGGAAAACCACACTCCGAACAATGCTTCTAATTCCACTCGAGAACGTTAGGAAACTCATTTAAAAATGACTCCCACAAATTATTTCATTTGTTTTAGTTTCTTTATGGACATCCTTATTAATGTTTGTAGAATTTAAAAAAATCTTTTTTTTTTTTTTTGAGATGGAGTCTCACTCTGCTGCCAGGCTGACAATCTCAGGTCACTACAACCTCCGACTCCCTGGTTCAAGTGAGTCTCCCGCCTCAGCCTCCCGAGTAGCTGGGATTACAGGAATGTGCCGCCACACCCAGCTAATTTTTTTGTATTTTTAGTAGAGACAGGATTTCACCATGTTGGCCAGGATGGTCTCGATCTCTTGACCTCATAATCTTTCTGCCTCAGCCTCCTAAAGTGCTGGGACTACAGGCATGAGCCACCATGCTCAGCCAAAGAAAATTTTATAAACCTATTGGTCATGACTGTATGCAATGGCTCACACATATAATCCCAGCACTTTGGGAGGTCAAGGTGGGCAGATCACTTTAGCCTAGGAATTCAAGACCAGCCTGGGAAACATATAGGAAACATATGGGAAACATAGCTGGGCACCAGCATGCCCAGCTAATTTTTATATTTTTTAGTAGAGATGGGGTTTCACCATTTTGGCCAGGATGGTCTCGATCTCTTGACCTCGTGATCCGCCCTCCCCAAGTGCTGGGATTACAGGTGTGAGCCACTGTACCCAGCCTGTTTGTTTTTTTTAAAATTAAAAAATTAATTAAAAACAATATTGGGCTGGGCACAGTGACTCACGCCTGTAATCCCAGCACTTTGCAAGGCCAACTCAGGCAGATCACCTGAGGTCAGGAGTTCGAGACTAGCCTGTTCAACATGGAGAAACCCCAACTCTACTAAAAATACAAAATTAGCTGGGGATGGTGGTGTGCTCCTGTAATCCCAGCAACTAGGGAGGCTGAGGCAGGAGAATCACTTAAACCTGGGAGGCAGAGGTTGCAGTGAGCCAAGATAGTGCCATTGTACTCCAGTCTGGGCAACAAGAGTGAAACACCATCTCAAAAAAAAAATAGGCCACCCATGTGCAAAAACATTCATATACACATATTCCTTACACCTTTCAAAAAAAACTAACTCAAAATAGATCTTACAACTAAATGTAAAATGCAAAACTATAAAAAAAATTCTTGAAAATAAACAGGAGAAAACGTAAGTAACCTTGGGTTTGGAAATGAGTTATTTATTTATTTATTTATTTTATTTAGAGACATAACTTTCGCTCTTGTTACCCAGACTGGTATGCAATGGTGCAATCTCAGCTCACTGCAAACTCTGACTCCCAGGTTCAAGCGATTCTGCTGCCTCGGCCTCCTGAGTAGCTGGACTACAGGTGCACACCACCATACCTGGCTAATTTTTGTATTTTTAGTAGAGACAGGGTTTCACCATGTTGGCCACACTGGTCTTGAACCCCTCACCTCAGGTGATCTGCCCAGCTCGGCCCCATAAAGTGCTGAGATTACAGGCGTGAGCCACTCACGCCTGGCCAGAAATGAGTTTTTAGATATAACACTAAAAGCACTATCCATGAAAGAGAAGATGTTAACTTAGACTTTATTAAAGACTTTTTCACTATGAAAAGCACTATTAAGAGACTAAAAAGACAAGCCATAGACTGGAATAAAAATCTGCGAAAAATATATCTCACAAAGGATTTGTATCCAAAATATACAATGACCACTAAAACTCAACAAGAAGCAAACAACCCAATTTTAAAATGGGCAAAACATCTGAACAGACACCTCATCCAAGAACATATAGAAATGTCAAATAAACATAAAAAGATGCCTAACATCACAGGGAACTGCAAATTAAAACAATGAGACACTACTACATCTCTATTAGATAATGAGCAAAATACAAAAAAAAATTACAATACCAAATGCTGGTGACGATGTGAAACAACAGGAACTCTCATTCATTACTGGCAAGAATGCTAAATGGTATAGCCACTTTGGGAAATAGTTTCACAATTTCTAATCAAATTAAACAGTCTTACCATATAATCCAGCAATCACACTCCTAGGTATTTTCCCAAAAGAGCTGAAAAGATAGAAAAACCTACACATGTATGTTTATACCAGCTTTATTCATAATTATCAAAAACTAGAAGCAACCTAGATAGCCTTCAAACAGTGAAGGGA